TGATTTATTTGGACACTTACTGGTACTCTTTGGGATCTTGTTCGTCAAGCAGCAACCATGTATCCCGCAGCCGGTAGACTGCCGGCGATTGTAAGCCCGCGAGAACTGCCAGCAAAGAATGATAATTCTTCATCTCCTTTAGAGCTTCTGCAACCTTCAAGAAGTATTTAATGACCGAAGCCCGTTCAGTTGACCCCGACGGAAGCAGAACCTCCTTGGTTACCATGCCAGCGACCTTTGTGAAGAAGTCTATGGCTGAGACAACGTTCGGTGCTCGGTAGTTTCGATCTTCTTTCAGCCACATGCAGCCGACCATCTCTGCTTCGTGGATCCGCAAGAACAATTCTGCGTCGACTGCCGTCAGTTCGTCCGCCAGGTCATCAGGGTCCACATCTCGCAAGGAGCTAGGGCTCTCGTGAGGGGATTCCTTTAAGATGTGAAGTTTGCGATTGGCTCCGGTGAAGATGCTCATTCGCTTTCCAGTGCTAGTGGGCTTCGATACCCGGCGTTTAAGATTGTAATGGTTATGATGACGTGGTCGATCTTTTGTACCGGAATAAAGTGTTTTTGACCATTGTTTCTCTTTCTGATGAGCACTATCGTCAAAGCTCGCATGAGGTTTGTCTTTCCTGGTATGTGTTTGTTTCAGTCTTGGGTCAGGACTCTTTTTCCTTAAGTCATCGACCAGCTTATGCAGATCCATCTCTCCCTTCGTGAGAAGCATCACGTGTCCGTTGATCACATGAGGAGTCCGGCGGTCGTCGTCATTCTCCAAGTCTAGATATACGAGTGACGTGCGATGTGTGAGCTTATCAGCATTCGGTAGATCCTCGATGAAGCTCGCTTCTCCCTCAAGAACATCTGGTAGAGACGCGGTGTGGTGAATCTCACCCTTGTTGATGCCAACTCTTTGGGTACTGTCTTTGGTGTCAACGACCTCATTTCCTTCAAGAAGCACATCCAACCTCGTCATCGATGCCATTGGGCGAGTGCGTCCCATGTGACCATGCTTATGTACCTCAACGTTGGTCTTTTCGAACAGGTCGTCGATGGAGAGGATGAGTCCCTTCCTGGTATCCCTGGCATGCCTGTTCGACCAGCTCTCAGCGTTGCTCGAGACCAGACTCCCGACGCTTAGAATGTCCTCAAGGCTTGACATTGAGTCTACCCCACCGTTGTGAAGAAGCACAGACTGCATACGATTTTTAAGTGTGGCTCTAGATTGACTGTGACGACCTTTTAGGGATGAATGGCCAATGTTTGAGGATTGTCCATGTTTTGTCTTGTCGTGATTGCGGTGACACGACCCGTGGTCATCTTCCTCGTCATCGCTGTCTGGAAGGGTTTCATCGTGATGGTCAATGATGTGTTCCGCAAAATGATGGACCCATCGATGAGCTGTTGATTTTTTGCGGTCTTCTATTCGGGGAGTGGGTCCGAAGGACGCGGTCTTTCCATTTTGATTAGAATCAAGAGTAGCATGTTCGTAATGAGGTTCTGCTGGTAAGCCTCTGCCACCTTTATTGTCATCTAATGATTCGATTTTATTGGACGTTATGGATTGTCTGTCCAGCGATTCATGTTCGCTTATGTTTGAGTTGTGAACTCGATGACGTTTCATTCTTTGCTTCCTTCTCTTTTGTTTGCTCTCAACTCTCCTGCGCTGTTCCAACTCATGAATCCACCAAACCCATTCATGCCACGTGTCTTCCCGATGCTTACTTTCCGAGGGTTCCAGATACCATATGAGACCATTGCACAACCGAACCCGAATCACATGTTCGCCGATCTCCTCCGAATGCGTCCGAATAGACAGCCGAACATTTACGAGAGGGAAAAGATAAATCAACTCGAACAGTTCTAGATCCGAATCGCATTTATTTTTATTAGCCTGTGATGACTTTATAGAAGCAAGTTTTTCTTCCGCAATCAGCAAAGTGGATGACGTAAGACCTACTTGGACCATTCGAGACTGAATATCTTTCCGTCGATTGAGGACAAAAGAACTTTCGAGAAGAATAACCTCTTCTGTGAGTGTGATATAGTCCTCTGTCCATAGCAACCGCTGTATTCTCGAGTTGCAGGCCAATTCTGAATCCATTTTTGGTGCAATTTTCGATTAAAAAAGGATTTCAGGGGAAGAACCCTTCTATGGAAGCATGGTTTTCGCGTTTACATTTCATGTGCAATGTCTTGTTTGATCTGTTGCGAAGTGAACAATTTTTTTCCAAGATGCAATACTTACAGCGCACGCGCATTGATGATGTCACAAGGCTCACGCGTTTTAGTTAGCTTAGTTATAGCGCGCATTTTACAATGACGTCATAAAGCTAAAACCACGCTAAAATGCATCCACACAGAACGAGATAAAGATAAAGAAAGAGCGAGAGAGAAGGGGGGGAGGAGAGAGAAAAGGGAGAGAGAGAGAGAGAGAGAAAGAGAGGGGATAAACAGCGATAAAGTAAAGAAAGGGTACAGGGGAATCCATTGCTTTTCCATCTGCATCTACTCTAAAACATCTAGTCAATTAAACACACGTCCTTGACCCAAAATGGGGAAAATTGTCAGCGTCAGAGCATTAACTTTTGTTGTACATGTTTTTCCCATTCGTCCATTCCTTTACATTTGTATACATGTGCACCATCCGATCGATATGCCCAATCTGATTTTCCGAACTCTGTCCTTCCAAATCACAATTGTCTTCCTGACGAGTAGAATCCAATTGTTCAATCGTAAATTATTGATTCATTAATTATTCATCCACTTCGCATTCTTTTGTCGTGAGATAATGCAGCGCGATGAAGGATTTCAATATGATATGAAAAAAACTTGCGCTGAGCTGCATGGATGCAAATAAAAAATATTAGTTATTGTCTGTGTTGATAAATGACAGTAGAAATGTGGAACCACCGGACGCAGTTTCGCTTTATAATATAGGATTTCCCGGCCAAATTCGCCTGTTTGTCATTCGAATTTTCAAATTAAATTAAGTTGGCGCAGATTGGCTTTGCCATGCCAATTATCATTCAATTTTCCAGTTTTTGTATTTGAGTTAGGATTTTAGTAGAAGAGTTTCATAGATCTGTCAATCAATTTAGAAACTGCTCAACTAGCATTCAAATTAATATTCACTTGTCGAAGCGTAATTTGTATCATTCAAATTAACACCTGTCATTCGTATTCGTAATATTTTTTTTATCCAAGTTAGGAATGTTAGGGGGAAGAATTGCAACAAACTTTTACAGTTTTTAAATAATGCAGTTAAAATGCATGATTTGCCATTGGGGTCTAAGCTGCTATTCCATTTATATATTTTCAGGACAATGCAGATTGGTGTATTTAGACATACAGTAAAGAAGGGGCGAAAACAAGGGATATGGCATTTCTGCACGGACATATTCATATACCCGGGAAAGGTGGGGGTACCCTCAATCGCCCCTTTTTTTACTACAGACTCGGAATTTTACAAAAGTAATTCACATCGTCTCTTATACCCAGCACACCCCTCTGTTTTTCTTAAAGGGTTTCATAGTTTACTTGTCCGCCAGCAGACCGATGGCTAAAGACATGGCTAAATAATGAATCATGTTCAAATTGTTGACTCTAGTCCCTACCCCAGTCACAATATTGTACCCTTCTTCCATAATGAAATTATGATGAAATTATGATAAATTTATGATGAAACATAAGACAAACAACTTCCTTACATGAACATTTACAAATATACTGAGACCATCAGGTCTGTAGATGCAAGTCGTTTTTTCTTCTTAACAATCAAACTTAAATGCTGATGAATATCAGATAAATCTAATATAAAAAGTGTAAGCGTATAAATGCAAGAAAATGAAATATGATGAAATACACATGAAAAAACAATCTTGAAAGAAAAAGAATGTTCTATAAAAAGTGTCTAATAAACGAGAAATGTATATTGACCATCAATTTAAGTGCACCAAGTGCTAATTTGAATGCTACAAATTAATGAATTAGAATTCTAGAAGTACACCGTTGCGTTGTCAGAAAATCGTGTTGCGCCAAATCGAAAGACCAAATAGCGAAAGAAGCACATTGTTCATTAATTGAAATGAAACATACGTAGATTCTAAAGAAAATTCCATAGATTTGAAAACTATAAAAGGGAATATAAACCCGAGATATACCTGACTGCACTAAAACCGTCGAATTTGAACGCAAGACAAATTAATTTGAATGACAAACTCGCGAATTTGGCCGGGAAATCCTATAACTTGACCCAGGAAGCGTGTGTTTAATGTGGCTTACTTAGATTCATCAGGTCATCGCGTCCGGTCGGGTGGTCGCGTTTCACGACCTTTCGTAAAAAGAAAAACGGAAGATAATAATAATATTATTCAGTTCCTGTATAGCGCATAATACGTTATGAAATATCATCTCTATGCGCTTCCAAAGAGCTTTGGAAATTATTGTCCTAGCTTTAGCTCCGGCAGCCGTAATCCGCGCACAGGCAAGGAATAATCCTACTAGGTACCCATTTACTTCACCTGCATGGGTTGAGTGTGGCAAATGTAGCTTAATGTCTTGCCAAAGGACATTAGTGCCGCTGCGGAACTCGAAATGCGGACCTTCTGATACAAAGTCTGGTGACATATCCACTCGACTACGACACCTCTACGATATGACGCGACCGTATTAGATTTGCCGTAGAGTTTTTTTTTTAACAAAGTGTCGGGTTAAATTGGACCAGACCACTTGTAGATGAGAGGGATATATTTTACAAATATAACCCCCGATATTTCGTGAATAAAAGGACATGATTTCACGAAAGGTCGTGTAACGCGATCACCCGACCCGACGAGATGACCCGATTATTCGAAGTAAGCCGTTTAATGAACCACGGCCTTGGCCTTTGTGTCTCCGCTTTGATTATTCTGAGACAGAGAGAGATATATAGCGAGAGCTAGCAGGAGGGGGGGGGGGGGGGGGTAAAAAGAACTTTAGAGAGAGAGGGGAGAAAAGCAAAGATGTGGAGACAAGAGGATGCCGAGAAGATGCAGTGCTTATGCATGAATGTGACCCTTTGTACAACCCTCAAGTTGTCTATCTATGACGGATGGTTTGCCATTGAAACGGGCAATTATGCATTGCTACCCACTCCAAAAGTAGGCCTACTGTACGTTGCATTGTAATCAAATATATGAATTGACCACTTCGGAAATAGCACATGAAAAAAAGACCCCCTCCCTCCAATATCTACACATTTTTTAAACTTAAGGAAGTCCTACTTTGTGCAATTTAGAAAAATCCTTGACAAAATGATCCTTGATGGAGATGCTTCATGAAAACCTTATGTTTGCCCTCTTTGTAGAATACTACATTTCCACCTATGTACCTGTGTATCATAGAAACTGTCTTTGTGACCAATACAATCCAATCTTTCGGCCTTGATTTATTGATCCATCAATTACCCATCAATTTCGAATTCTTTTGTCGTGATATTTGATATTGATTGTGGTGATCAGTGACAATAGAAATATGGAATCACCGCTTTTGAATGGCTTGACTCAAAAAGCGTGTGTTTATTTGTTTTTTTAAACAACGGCCTTGGACCTTTTGTCTCTGCTTTGATGAATGTGGTTTCTTATTAGAAATGAGCGGTTATCATTGTCGGATAATTTGTTTCATCGATTTTCCAATCTTCATAGTCATCACAAGCTCTATAAGATCGGTGTAACGATTGGGGTCTGGTGTTTACCACACATAACCGGTAAGAAGGAATTCGTTGAATGCTGTGAGCACCGACATCGGTAGCCTGGCAGAACCGGGTAACATATTGGAGCGCTTTGAGCACCCTGTAGGGTGCATAATGTGCGCTATATAAATATCCAATAATATTATTATTACTATTATTATATTCGCCCCCTATCCATCGTATATAATTATGCATGCATACATAAGAGAAAAGAGGAAGAAGAGGAAGAAGAAGAAGAAGAAGAAGAAGAAGAAGAAGAAGAAGACGAAGAAGAAGAAGAAGAAGAAGACGAAGAAGAAGAAGAAGAAGAAGAAGACGAAGAAGAAGAAGAAGAAGAAGAAGAAGAAGAAGAAGAAGAAGAAGAAGAAGAAGAAGAAGAAGAAAGAAGATGAAGAAGAAGAAGAAGAAAGAAAATAATAATGATAACAAGGAGAAAATGAAATAAATGTATTGATACATCTGTCAATGTAACATAAATAATTTCCCCATCGGTTTAAAATTTTTAAAAACGACATGATACAACATAAATATACAACGAAGTGATCAGACATATCTTAAGAGAACAGAAGAAAATACAAAATATATTTTTATGAACGAAATTAAAATGGAAGAAGAAGGAGAAGGAAAAGTAGATGAGAGATAGGTAGGGGAGGAAGAGAAAGGGAGGGAGAAAGAGAGATATAGAGGGGTTGAGAGAGAGAGATATGTAGAAAGGGGAGGGGAAAGAGAGGAGAAGAATAAAAAGAACTATAAAATATTTAGAGAGAGAGAGAGAGAGAGGCAGGGACAGAGACAGTGACAGAGAGAGAACGAGAGAAAGAGAGAGAGGGGGACAGAGAAAGAGACAGTGACAGAGAGAGAACGAGAGAGAGAGAGAGAGAGAGAGAGAGAGAGAGAGAGGGGAGAGAGAGAGAGGGGGAGAGAGTAGAGAAGCAAATTATGTTCCAAAAAAAAAGGCGCGGGGAACTTAAATATAGTGCGTCTATACATGCTTCTGGCCCTTTGTACATATGGTTCCAGCCCCCTCCTATCCCAAGGTCTCAAGCTACGTCATTGCCCGTTTTTTCACGGCTTCCTGACACAAGTTCAACATCCTTTTTTTATATCGACTATCTAGCCATGACGGGTGTTTTGCCATCTAATTAGGAACTTTGGTATTAATAATAAGAATAATAATTATGTCTTGTTTACCCAGGGTAGCCTCATCAGTATTTATACTGTTCTCCCTGAGGGCCCTGCAATCATATTATTACCCAGGTCATCGGATTCGGGCACACAGTGTATGCACATTCTCCTCTCCCTGGGGAGCATTCCAGCCAGTGCATCATTTTTACAAGCGCACACTTGTTAATCTAGTGCACATTAGCTTTCGCATCCTACCGGGTACCCATTCAACACCTGGGTGGAGAGTGGCAAATGTAGATCAATGTCTTGCCAAAGGACATTAGTGCCGTGGTGGGACTTGAACCGCGGACCTTGTGATCCACAGTCCGGTGACATATCCACTCGTCCACGACATTGCTATTCATTTCCAAAGTACTTTGCGTTGCATGTCGATCACAAATATGAATAACCAGACCTCTTCAGAGATAACATAAGAATAAAATTAATAATCACCCCCAATAATCATGAGGAATTCCCACTTTGTGCAATTTATAATAATAGGCCTATCTGCCAAATTGATGGAGGTGTTTCATGAATATATATTATGTTTGCCAACCTTGAGAAGAATATCTCCACCCACGTGTTTCGCGACGGTACATAAATAAATAATGATTTCGTATCTTTCATGAAAATATTATCCAGCCTTCATCTCGGTGAGTTTACAGTTTTGTATGAATGACATATATATGCCAATGAGCAGATAGCATCTACGAACTGTCTGATTTACCTTTTGTAACATTAAGAACCGTACCATTTCCTTCATATTTCAGACGCCTAAAATCAACTTGAAAACTGTTTATTTCTCCTGGAATATTTTCCGTTGAGGCGTTTATCTATAGTAGATGTGGACACATTACACTTTAGAACAATTAATTCCTGTCAAAAAAAGGTTTTAGATAGAGCTGATGGATTAGTGCTGAGCCAAGGGAATCAACGAAGCCGATAAAACAGAGCCCTAATAAGTGTGTACATCATATTAATTGATTTTTATTCGACAAGCTTCCAACATACAACAATATACAATAATAACAGATCAAAAATCAAACAGGATAACTCACGAAAGCTCGAGAGCTTATTTCCAGTGGGGTCCCTTACAGACATGTATACAATTAATAAGTTAAAATAGTTATATTTACAGACAGATAAGAAAAATAAAAGAATTACTTATTAAAGATAATAATAATAATAACAATAATGATAAAAATGATAACAAGTACAAGAAGTAAAGGAAGAAGGAGAAGAAAAAAATGAGGAGGAGGAAGAAGAGGAAAATAATGATGAATTTGTAAAATTTCTATAACGTACGAAAACATAAGTATATACAAAATGAAAAAATATGAACCGGCAGAAGAATACAAATTTCAATCATAATTATAACGTGTCATTCACTTCTCTTCTCTGACTGTCAAGTATTAGGTATTCCTTTAATTTCCTCTTAAAATGAGCATAGTTTTCTATTTCCTTTACACCATTGGGAAGGAATATTGTAGATGAATATGAATATTGTAGATGAATATTGATATTTTTGTTTAAAGATAATACACATTTTGATTTTGTTGTGCCTCTGTCAGCATCTCAAATATAAACTCGATCCATAAATACACGAAGGGAAATGTGATTCAGATATCGGTCAGTGAGTTTGTAATTTTTGTTAATTTATTCTCTCTAATGATTTGATAGCAATTTTTAATAATGCTAAATATGAATTGTATGTATTATCATATGAATCTTAAGACGCTTAATGTAGCTGTTGTTAATGGCCCCTATTTCTGTTCATCCCTTAGTGTGAAAATAGGGGCATCTTTGAATGCTGTACCAGTTAGCACCTGCAGTGGTGCGGTGTTAAAGCAGTCCTGTCAGAGCAGTCACTTGGAAAGTGCTGAAAAATAGCTCCCCCGGTGCTAGAAATAGCAACCTTAGTGCAACATTGGTAGGACTTTTTGGGGGTGCTGTATACATCGAGTGCAGTTATAATGCGAGCAACGAATAAACGCTAAAATCGAATCCTAAGGTGCTACAATATTTTTTGTTGGTTGTTGCTGAGTGTATAAAGAAATAGTGGAGATAATTCTTTCTTTATAATATGTACTCCTTGGCTGCTCGACAACAGATTGCTGGGTGAAATTATTACTCATTCTGTTGTATGCTCTGTCGAACAAATATAATGTGGTGGTTTCCTCACTTTCGACCAGGAGCGATTATAAAACCAAAAATGGGGTAGGTGGGGTGGGGAAAGGGGGGGGTGTTCTTGCCTGCCATGTTTGCATGCATGCATGCATCATCATTTTTTTTATATTTTTTTTTGGGGGGGGGGGCATTTAGTTGGGGCTTCACCCCCTCCCCCAGCCCCTCTCTAGAACCACTACCGATGTCAATATTCTCACATTATCATCGGCGGGGGAGGGGGGGGGGGGGGGGGGGTAGGGGGTACAGCCACCTACACTCGTCCATCACTCCACTGATTATTTTCGTGCAACGCCCGCATGAATGTTTCATGAGCAATCTTTAACTTTCTGTTCAGCGGAGCCTTTCGATTTACGATCAATCTTACTAAAGTGGGTTCGATCGAAAAGACAAATATCGTTCGGGCCGTCGATCATTTTGGCATCACCCGCTTTTTACGTTTCTATGGTTACGGTGCACGCCTTTTTTGTCTCTCTCTCCCGCACGGAACACGCGAAAGCTGCGACCGGATGAGGGAAGTTTGCAGATAATAATATTCATATTGAACCGAAGGATTTCTCTCTGTTTCTGCAGCGGTCGCAACATCAGCTTCAGTTTTAGGCCTTGACTGGGAAAGCAATAATTATCTTTTTCATCTCTGGTGTGCTATAATATGTTGCGAGATATATTTCGGAATCTCCTTGACATTGGAATCCTTTAAAATATTAGCAATTGTGATTTTATATCAAGATCTCATCGTTGGAAACGCAACCGCGAGTAATTATCTTTTTTTTCCCTGCCAAATTAGTAACTAAATTAGTTCAATGGAGGAATTTCAATAACAGGTCATCCTGAATACATGCTGCTCGGATTCTGTTCCAAAAATTGTAAATCTTGACTGATTTTGGTGTGGGAGTTTTCTTAATTAATTTTAAGTATCAGAACCGGCCATCCGATCAATCATGATTTTCAAAGGGGTAAGTCAACTTTTTCATTTGCATTTCTTACAGTTACAGACAGTTTCCTGCTCTCTCTTTTCCTCTCATCTCCTTTGTTCGCCTCTCTTTCTTACTCTACCTTTGT